TATTATGTAAAATTTATATATAACTAAATTTCTTTCCTTCTAAAAAATATTATTTAAAAATACATATAAAAAAAATAAAATGACTTATATTTTAAAATCCATAGAATAGTTAAAAATTACATTTTTACACACTTAACATGTGCTTCACAAAATAGTAAATGAGCTAAATAAGTCAATGGTACTTTTTTTAATCAAAATAAAATATTTTAAATTTAAATTACAAAACACAAAAGTGGTTGGATATAAAAGCCACCCAATGTACAATTTTTTTAAAAAAAAACACATGTTTTTTGAGGCACAGTTTAGAAAATTGATGATAATATAAAAAATAATTTTTTAATTTATATTTTAAAAGTATTTTTTTATCATAAATATATTAAAAAAATATAAAAATTAATATTAATTTCAATATTAACGTTCAACAAATAAATTTAACTAAATAATTAATAAATTAAATATTAATTTTTATTTTTTAATATAAATTTATTATTAAAATATATATTTATTATATCTATAATTTACATCCTTAAAATATATATTACATCGGCAAAACATGCAGATCACCCCCTTAACTCACCCACTGGTGGCAAATCACCCCTTCAACCCACTTCACACGCAGACCAGCCCCTCAACTCACCTGCAGTGGCAAATCACCCCCTCTATTAACGCCGGCACCATCCTTCCGTTAGCTTTAACAGTCCATTCACCCACCCCTCTTTTGTGTTTGATGTGGCATTTTTGTGCTGAGATGGACAAGTCACCTGGACAAATACCCTAAAATTACTTTTATGGTCTTAAAAGTAATCTGATCACGCACTGAGGTTTCTACTTGTTCAAAATACAGAACACGCACCCACACCATCTTCACAGTTGAAATACATGGTAATAAGAGCATTAACCACAGAAGCTCTAACCAGGAACCCAGATTTAACCACCAACGAATGCATCTGCCTCCCAAAATCCACCATCTCCCAAGAACACACACTCAAAACACTAGCAAAACTATAATTATCATGCCTAAAACCCAAAGAATGCATCTCCTTAAATAAATCAATCCCAATCTTTTCATACCCATTTTCCGCACACCCAGTATTCATTGCATTCCACACTGCCACATCCTTTTTCAGACATTCCATCAAACACCTCACAGGCAAACCCGACATCCCCTAACTTCGTACAGGAGGACAACAATGTAGTCCAAGAATACACATCTGGGTTCTCAATCTCCTCAAAAACCCATTTGACAGAAACCAAGTCCTGCCCTTTCACATACAGAGAGAGAAGAGTGTTCGAGACATGGGAGTACGCTTTATATCCAGCCCAGATAGCATAGGCGTGAAGTTTGTTTCCAAAGGCGACATCCCGCAGTTTTGCACAGGCGGTGAGTGTGTTGGAGAGGGTGTACTGGTTTGGCTTAAGGTGGAAGTGAAGTGATTGAATTTCATCGAACAGATAAAGGGCATCTTCCTAGTGGTTCGAGCGAGTTAAATCAACAAGCTGAGAATTAAGCCGCCTGACGAGTTGACAAAATACCCTAAAATCCTCAAAATATCTTGTTTTCATTGACGATTCAGAGCTTGACGAAGAAGCCATGCTCGATGAATTACAGATCTTCAAGAAACAGTGTTCAAATTTTTAAAGGACGAAGAGGGAAGAAGACGATATAAGCTAGCAGACATAAAACCATGTTTTCATTGATGATTCAGAGTTTGCCGAAGAAGCCATGCTCAATGAATTACAAATCTTAAAGAAACAATGTTCAATTTTTGAAAGGACGAAGAGGGGAAGAAGACGATAGAAGCTAGAAAAAATAAAACCTTGGCAAAAATAAAACCCCAGATCCCCAAATCCCCAATTTTATTTTCCTAGAATTCAAGGCCATAAAAGTAATTTTAGGGTATTTGTCCAGGTGACTTGTCCATCTCAGCACAAAAATGCCACATCAAACACAAAAGAGGGGTGGGTGAATGGACTGTTAAAGCTAACGGAAGGATGGTGCCGGCGTTAATAGAGGGGGTGATTTGCCACTGCAGGTGAGTTGAGGGGCTGGTCTGCGTGTGAAGTGGGTTGAGGGGGTGATTTGCCACCAGTGGATGAGTTAAGGGGGTGATCTGCATGTTTTGCCTATTACATCATAGTTTAAAAAAATGTGTAAAAGCCCTGAATGCCCCACCCACACTGTACACTGAGTCGCGCCAGCCATGGGCCACGAGCCACCCTATTCATTTTAATTTGATTTTATTGCAATAGCAGCTCTTATTTATGGTAATGTGTATTAAATATTTTAATTTATAAAAAAATTTAAATTTTTATTAAAATAATTATAACATTTTTTTCTTTCCTAAAATTTTTTCTTATTGTAGGTCATGGTAATTTTAATAAAAAATTTTAAATTCAAATTACATGACATATGAATGAGACATAATAAGAAATATGATAAGAGATGAGATAGATTTGACTCTTTTTTTTTGCAACCAACATAAAAAAAAAAATTTTCCTGGTTCAAAAAACTTGATGTAATATAATGACCAACAGATTTTGAACGCGCGGCATTTTAATGGGGCAATTAATAACTTTCAGTCGAATTTGAATATTTC